CACCTCAGTGTCCTTCCCATGAGGTGGTTGAGCCCAGGTGCTTCAGATGGTAGAACATATTACAAACAACTTGACAGATGTTTTCTGAACACGAGTGAATGGAATGCTGGTCTGGGAGTCAGGAAGACTCAGATTCCAATCTTGCATGTGAAACTAAGTTATTGTGCTTCTGCATATTATATTCTCTGTGTAAAACCAGGAAAGAGAGAGAGAGAGAGAGAGAGAGAGAGAGAGAGAGAGAGAGAGAGAGAGAGAGAGAGAGAGAGCAGAGAGAGACAGAGAGAGACAGAGAGAGACACACAGAAAGTGAGAGACATAGAGGGACAGAGAAAGACAGGGAGATAGAGACAGAGGGAAAGAGAGAGATAGAGGGAGGAAGGGAAAGAGAGACACACACAGAAAGAGAGAGGGAGGGAGGAAAGGGAAGAGACAGTGAGGCAGAGAAAGTGAGAGAGACAGACAGACAGACAGAGAGACATAGAGGGACAGAGAAAGACAGGGAGACAGAGACAGAAGAGAAAGAGAGAGACAGAGGGAGGGAGGGAGGGAGAGAGAGACACACAAAGAAAGTGAGAGGGAGGGAGGAAAGTGAGGCAGAGAAAGTGTGTGTGTGTGTGTGTGTGTGTGTGTGTGCGAGAAAGAGAGAGAGAGAGAGAGAGAGAGAGAGAGAGAGAGAGAGAGAGAGAGAGAGAGAGAGAGAGAGAGGGAGAGAGGAGATTCATGCATATGGACATGAGAGAGAAAAGTTCCTTTTTTGGCTGCAATAAGGTAACCTGACACATATCATCTGAATAACACAGTACAATGATCAGATCTAGAACTCGGTCATGGAGAGTGAAAACAGCAAGGAGAGAGGACACCAAAGTTCAGTGTTGCTGAGGAGACACAAAGAATCATTTTCTGTGATGGAGGAGAGTGGAGATGTTGTTGAAGGAAAGGAGTGGAGCAGACACTGGGAATGAAACCTGGAAACTCTTCAAAGCAGAGAGAAAGGCAGTGGGCCTGAGGGCAACATGTCCCTCCACATGCAGAGATCAACCAGGAGAGGGCAGGAATAGTAAAGGGCTTGAGAGATGACATTCCTCCTCTCTTCAGACAGGGAAAGGATCCATTTGTTGTTTTCCTCCTTTGGGCCGACAACACAGGAGGCCCTAGGCTGCACTCCCTAAACAAACTCCTTTTTCTCCAGCCTCAGGGTTACTTCTAGCCCCCTACTCAGGCTACCAGGATTGTGGGAGGAATGCTGTCTCTTCTGTCAGGGGAGGATGCAGCTGATACTGGTCAGGATTCAAAGGAAATGATTACTTGTCTGTCTGATGACTGATTGTCTCCTGTCTGAGTCATTCCATGGAGCATGTTCATGGTGGTCCTCCCTGCCTACCTTCCTCTCTATGTGCTGGCTTAACACTTTGGTAATTCAGAGATGATGACCTCTTTGTCTGCTTCTAGCCATGATGTGAGTCAGAGCTGAAAGATAAGGATGTTCTGAAATGATGGATCTCCTATATCGATTTTTCTATTTAGTTCTGGTCTTTTTGTCAGAAAAAACTGAAAGTCTTTCAGTTCACTAAGTGTCCACTTAAAAAAAATTATAGACACTACTCAACTTTGCTAGGTAAATTAAAATGGAAAACTGATAGCAGAATGAATTAAAAATCAGAATCCAACAATATGTTATTTACAAGAAATACATTTGAAAAAGAGAGATACATGTCAAGTTAAAATGGAGGATTGGCATAGAATTTATTATGCTTCACCTGAGGCAAAAAAAGGGCAGGGGTAGGAATCATGATCTCAGGCAAAGATAAGGCTAAAATCAATTAATTAAAAGAGATAAGCAGGGTAATTATATATTGATAAAATATACTATCGATAATGAAGTAACATACTGAATTTACAAGTACCAAATACAATAGCATGTAAATTTTAAAAAGAAAGGTTAAATGAATTATAGGTGGAGACAGATAGTAGTACTATAATAGTGGGGGACTGTAATCTTCCCCTTTCAGAACTTGACAAATTAACCAAAAACAAATAAGAAAGAAGTCAAGGAAATGAACAGAATTTTAGATAAGTTAGATATGATAGATATCTGGAGAGAAGCAAATGGAAATAGAAGGAAATATACCTTTTTTACCCTGCTGTTTATGGTACCTTTACAAAGACTGACCATATATTAGGATATAAAAATTTTATACTTAAAAGCAGAAAAACAGAAGTATTAAAAGTATTCTTTTCATATCATAATGCAATGAAATTTATATTTAATAAGGGACCAGAAAAACATAGATTAAAAATTAATTGGAGATTAAACAACCTAATCTTAGAGAATGAGTGGGTTAAAGAACAAATCATAGAAACAATTGAAAAGTTCATTAAAGAAAGTGTCAATAATGAAACAACATACCAAAACCTATGGGTACAGCAAAGCAAGAATTAGAGGAAAATTTATATCTCTAAATACTTACATTAATAAAGAGCAGAAAAAATAGGTATGCAAATAAAGAAAGTGAAAAAAAGAAGAAACTAAAATCCACAATCAAACACTAAATTGGAAAACCTAAAATTGAAAGATGAGATTTATAAAATTGATACAAAAAACCATTGAATTAATAAATAAAACTAGGAGTTGATTAAAAAACCAATGAAATGGACGAACAATTGATTAATTTGATTTAAAAAGAGAGAAGAAAAAAAAGAGAAGAAAACCAAATCACTAGTATTAGAAATGAAAATGGTGAATCTACCGCTAATGGAGACCAGATCAAATAAGTTTTGATGAGTTACTTTGCCAAATTACATACCACCAAATTTAATAATTTAAGTGAAGTTAAAAAATATTGACAAAAATCTTAATTCCTTAGCTTAGCGGAAGAGGAAATAGAATATCTGAACAGACCTATTTTGTTTATGTGTGTGTTTTTTTTTTGCTAGGCAATGAGGTTAAGTGACTTGCCCAGGGTCACACAGCTAGTGCGTATTATGTGTCTGAGGTCAGATTTGAACTCAGTTCCTCCTGATTCCAGGGCCAGTGCTCTATCCACTGTGCCACTTAGCTGCCCCTTAAACAGACCTGTTTTAGAAAAATAAATTGAACAGGTATAAATGAGCTTCCTAAGGAAAAAAAAACACCAAGACTAGACGGATTTACAAGTGAATCCTATCAAACATTTAAAGATCAACTAATTGCAATATTAAATAAATTATTTGGAATAATAGGCAAAGAAGGGATCCTATGAAACTCCTTTTATGCAACAGGTACGATATTGATACATAAACTATGAAGAATAAAAATGAGGACAAGTATAGATCAATTCCATTGATGAATATGGACACAAAAATCTTAAATAAAATATTAACTAAAAGATGACAACAATATGCTACAAAGATTATACATTATGACCAAGTGGTATTTATATGAGGAATACACAGATGGTTTAACATAAAGAAAACTGTTAACATAATTGATTATATAAATAATAACAGTTTTAAAAAATCATATGATGACACCATTCTGTGCCTAGACCAGGTTAAACTATGGGCCCTGAAACCACTGAGGAAAGAGTAAGGTGATTGTCACTGGAGGAATCAAATGGAAGCTCTCACAGTTGGGATATTTCACAGGCCATTGTTGTTCTGTGTGTGTGTGTGTGTGTGTGTGTGTGTGATGTATGTGTGCTGAGTATGTATGTTGTGTGACATGTGTGTGGGGTGTGTGATATGTATGTGCGTGAGATGATATGTCCCCCTTGCCCTGCATTGGTCTCATTAGGGTGTGCCCTCTCATATAACACCCTTTCAATACCTGCCCTCACCAGGAAGTGGGTCATGCAGAGTGAAAGAGAGATTGGAATAGAGAGAGTCACAGAAACAGAAACACAGAGACTCATAGAGATAGAGACCTGGAGAAATAGACTGGAAAAAAGAGAGGATGAGCCCCAGCCTTGACCTTCAGAGGGAGAGAAGTATTTGTCTCAAGTCCTGTGATGGGAGTGGAAGGGGGAAAGGGAAAGGAACACTAGCAATTAATGGAGGGGGGACATGGCTGAGCTGGAATCTCCCCTTTTTAGGGCAGGAGGGAAAGGAGGCTTTAGGGAACCTTGTGGATCAATCCTGAGAGAAAACAAAGTGGGGGAGCTTGGCCCATAGAACACTGAGTGGTCTGATCCTGGAGTCTGCCTTCATTTACAGAAATTGACAAGGAGAGGAGAGGAGACAAGAGGCTTTAGAGGATGTATTTCCTCTTCTTGTACTCTTTAAGAAAGGGACAGTGGCCTTTGTTTTGGAGTAGCCTTCCTCCTGGCTGGTGATATGAGCACCTGGACATGACACCCCAGGTAAAGGAGCCTCCAGGAAGCTAGGGAGCTATGAAGTGCACAGAGCATTGGGCTTGGAGTCAGGAAGATCTGAGTTCAAATCCAGTCTCAGATACATGGTTGCTCTGGGAGCCTGGGCAAGTCATTGAACCTTTGCCTGCCTCAGTTTCCTCAGGTGTAAAATGGAGATAGATCATGAGAGCATCTATGTCCCAGGGATATTGTGAGGATTAAGTGAGATGTCTGTAAAGCACTTAGCGCAGTACCTGGTATAGTCTTCTTGTTCAGTCATGTGACTGTGCCCCCATATGGGGTTTTCTTGGTAAAGTGGCTTGCCATTTCTTTGACTGGCTCATTTTACAGATAAGGAAATTGAGGCAAACACAGTCAAATGATTTGCCCAGGGTCATACAGATGGTGTCTCAGGCCAGATCTCACTTCAGTTCTTCCCATTCCAGGCCCTGGAGATCTTTCCTCTGCACTGTCTGGGTGCCTGGCATATAGTAGGCACCTAAAAAATGTTTCCTCATCACTTAGATTTCAAACCCTAGGTACCAACAAACGGGGTGGAATGGGAAAGCCTGATTTCCCTCCCTCCCAGGGAGGTGGGAAGGGGGCTGCAGCTGGGCCTGGGACAGGGATTCATTTCAAGGGCCCTGGAGTCTGAGCATCTTGTTCTTAGCCTCAGAATGATGTCTCCAGACTGTTGGTGTGGGGGGCATCCCTCATCCCACCTCCTACCTCCCCCTCATCCCCCAGGGCCCTCTGCAGGACCACCCTGAGGGGCTCCCTCCTTTTATGCCTTTGGCTGCCCAGGAAGAAATAAATGAAGGGGTTCGAGCTGCTGTTCACACAGGCCAGGATCATATGGAGCCCACGCGGTATGAAAACTAAGCTTTCCTCAAGGTCTATGAGATAGTCCATCCCTTTGGGCAGGCCAAAGAACAGGAACACGAGGACTGCAAGCAGGACCAGGAGGTGGGGGGGGGGGCTGCCGGCGCTGGGAGCTGCACTGGACCCTCAGCAGCAGAGTCAGGCTGGACACGCACAGCACTGGGGTGAGGAGGATGAACCACACAGCTTCGATAATGATGACCTTGTCGCAGAAACGGCGAGTAAACGCATGATAACAAATCGAGTAAACTACTACACTGATCAGGCTGGTCAGAACCCAGAGAACAGCGCATAGCGCAGCAGATATGTGCTTAGGGCGGTGACATCTGTACCAGATGGGTAAGATCACAGATACACAGCGCTCGGTGCTGATCGCAGCCAGAAGGCTCAGGCCTACAAGGTAGGATGTAAATTGGATAAGGGTCTCTAGTATGTGTATTAAAGAAGAATAAAAATACCAAAAAATGTGATTTATGCAGATCAGAAAAGAGCAGCAGAGGAAGAGGGCGTCAGCTCCGGCCAGGTTGAGGATGTAGGTGGATGCGGAAGCCCAGGAGCCACAGGACGAGGCTGTTCCCCCCCAGCCCAACCAGGGCAATGAGCAGAATGAGGATCACCATCCAGTCATCGAAATAAAATTTTCGAGGTTGTGGAAGAACTAAAGTCCTATTTGCACTTCTCTCCGTTGAGTTGTCATGAACATATTCTAATCGACCAGCTGTGAGGGACATAGCCATGGTGGTTGGTCCAAGCCCCAGGAAGCCGGGGTCCTTTGAGAAGCCCTGTGGACACAAAGACAAGGAAATTTACTTCCATCTCTACCTTCAAGAGTTAGAGGCTCCTCTTCCCCACTCCCTCTCTAGGGGCAGCTAGGTGGTGCTACAGGACACAGAGGTGTGAGCCTAGAGTAAGAAATGACTTAAAATCCAGTCTCAGACACTTACTAATGAGATAAATAATTATTTCTCTCATATCAATAACCAATTATTCAATTCAGATAAAGACTTACCCTTCCTATTTCCTCATTCAGAAACCAGACCTTCTGTTATTCAGTCAATCTCTGGAGGACATTGCTGATAGACGAGATTGCCCAGGTCTTCTGGATGCATGCTTTTTGATCATGAGTTGGACCCCACCCAACTAGAAGATCTTACAAAGAGAATCTTATGTAAGTGCTATTCTTACCACACCATTGTTGTTGTTCAGTGACTGGGTAGAGATGGATACCTTTGTCCAGATAGCTAGAGGCAGCTGAACCTCATTACACCCTCAGCAGGTAGAGCTGAAGGCTTTCAGCCCTACTCCTTGTCCACCCACTCATTGATTGTTAACCAATCAGAGTTGATTTCCACCCTCTGGGCCCACTCCCTTTTCCAAAGACTTTTGAAGCATTCGGTGCTCACTAGTAGGCATCTTTGGCTTCCAGGTAGACCATTAACCTCTGTTATTGCCTAGTTAATAAATTGGTTATTTTTCATCCAGAAATTATGTCTCTCAGACTTTTCATTTGTTACATGAGCTATGTGACCTCAGACAAGACACTTAGCATCTGTCTTCCTCAGGTGCTTCAACTGTAAAATGAGACCAATAATAACATCAGGCTCACAGGGTTCTTCAGAGGATCAAATGAAGTAATGTTTGTAAAGTGTTTAACACTTAGCCTAGCACATAATAGGCCCTTAAAAAGTCTTGTTTTATTTTCCCATTTTCCCTTTTCTCTTCTTATGATGTGACAGTGAGGTACAGAAATGAGGCTTCTGGAGAAGATTGGGGGTACACCTGCCTCTCCTTTCTTCTCTGACCCTGCCATCACCCTTCACTTTCCTCTCTTCTGCTTTTTCTGTAGTATGTGGGAGTGTGGCTTCCTTCCACAACCCATGTGGACAGGCCTAAGGGCGAGCTGAAACACTTAATTCAATCAACAGATGTTTATTTATTTAATGTTTGTATGAATGCATTTGTTTGTTCATTTACTATTTTATCAATTTATAAATTTATTCATCCATTTGTACATTTATATTTTAATATTTGTATCAATAACTTTTCCTTTTATGGAATTTTTTATTGTTCTATATACTATCACTCACAGATTCAATTTTTAAAAATCAAAGAATAAAAAAAAGAAGAGAAAAAATATTTCAGCACACCTAACCATCATATAAGCTAAATCCAACAGTGTGCTACACAGTGTATGACATCCATAGTCACTCACCTCTGGGAAGGAGAGAAGGAGACGCAATTAGCTCTTTATTGGTTTTCTGTGCCAAACTGCTATATACTCTTGCTTAACAATGACTGTTTCAGGATTCTGGGCCCAGATAAATTTGCACCCCTGGGCTTGGGGCTGGGAATACAGAGACAATGAAACCGCCCCTGCCCTGAAGTAGCTGATGTTCTACTGAGAGTGGGCAGAGGGGAGGAGTATGCAGCCGCAGGTGCTCACCTCTGCCAAACCCGGTAATTGACCAGCACAGAACATGACCAACTGCAGGTGTCAGGACTGTTGATTGCTATAGCAATCTTTATTGACAAATGATGTGCTTTAGGGACAACTGTCTGTGAAAGGGTGGGTCTGTTCATCTAGACTGAGAACAAGAGAAAATCAAGGCATTATGGGGTCCACTCCCCCTGAGCCAGAGCCTGGGCCTGGAGGATCGGGAACAAGAACTTTCACACCCCCGGGCTATAGAGGATTCTGAAGCACTTCAAACAAAACTCTCCCTCCCTGCTGGGGACCATATTAAAAAGGGTCTGAAGGTTGGGGGCTGCTCTTTGCCTCCCAGGGAAAAAGAAAACATCAGAACATAGCAGCAGAAACTTCTGTGGTCCACCACTTCCCAGAGTGTCCAATTTTCCAGCTGTGCTCTTTGAGGGGATCAACATAAATGTATAAATAAAGGATTAAACTCACAGAGAAGTCTTGAGTAGATTCAAGTATGACAAAGAATTGCAAGGAAGGGCCTCAGATGGAGAACTTCCCTTTTTCCTCTCCTGGTTCCTGATGATTGCTGTGCCTGGTCCTGCTGCTGATGACTGTACTTGTCCTTCTCAGGAATCTCCAGGCCAGACACTGGAGCCTGAGGGGAGGGATAGGGGCAGGATTCAGGATGGTACACTTACATTGCCCTCCCTTTTTTCCCAATCATTTAGGCCTAGGAAAAGAAATTTTCCATTTACGTTCAGGCAGTAAGGGTGGGGATTTACCAAACACTGGCCTCAGGAGATGAACTCCCCAAAGATTTCAAGTCCTGATGAAGTTTCCTAAATGGTGTTTCTCTGGTAAAGACTTTGACTCTCTCTCAGCACCAACCTGTACAGAAGGGCATTAGAGGTATTCTTTTTGGATTGGTCTGGTCCATTATCCCCATTATCCCCAATCCATCCTTCCCATTATCTTTGGGTACTTATCAATCTTGGTTCCTTAAGGAATAAATAACCCCGGTGGGCCCTCGGTTCAATAGTTCCTTTCCTAGAACTTTTCTGAAAGTGAAATTGGACATTTTCCTGTTGGCTCAGATGTGCACGGAGATCCAAGAGCCTCTGATTTCCATAGACAACAGGTGGGTATTGGGGTGAGGCTTGGACTGGCAGGAGCCCTGGGTTTTAATGTTCTCACAAGGAAAGAAAAGATGTACATATATATTTATTCATTCACAACCTATACACATACAATATATATATATATATATATATATACAATATACATATATATACAATATACACATATATATACAATATACATATATACAATATACATATATATACAATATACATATATATATATACAATGTACATATATATACAATATACATATATATATACCATATACATATATATACAATATACATATATATACAATATATGTATATATACAATATACACATATATATACAATATACATATATATACAATCAATATACATATATATACCATATACATATATACAATATACATATATATATACAATATACATATATATATATGAACATATAGGAATGCATTCATATACGTATGTGATATATATTCATACCCATTTACATACATGTATATACTTCTATTTATGCCAGGCACTCTTAACCTAGGTTCTAGGAGTAGTTTTTGGATGTCCTGTGAACTTGGAAGGAGATACGTTATCTTTTTTTCAATAACCTTTAATGGAATGTCAGTGTTTCCTTCAAGTATTAAGAAATTATTCTTAATAGGAGGAGTCCGTTGGCATCACTAGATGACAGAAACTGTTCATAGCACAGAGATTCACATATACGTGAATGATAAAAAAAATTAAAGCCGTCTATAGTCATATGAAAAAATGCTCTAAATCACTGTTGATTAGAGAAATGCAACTCTGAGGTATGACATCACACCTTTCAGATTGGCCAACATGACGAAACAGGGAAATAATAAATGTTGGAGAAGATGTGGGAAAATCAGAACACTAATTCATTGTTGGTGGAGTTGTGAAATGATCCGAGCATTTTGGAGAGCAATTTGGAACTATGCCCGAAGGGCTATAAAAATGTGCATACTCTTTGACCCAGCAATATCATTTCTAGAGCTGTATTCCAAAGAGATCATACAAATTGGGAAAGGACCCACACGTACAAAAATATTCATAGCAGCTCTTTTTGTGGTGGCAAAAAATTGGAAATTGAGAGGATGCCCATCAATTGGGGAATGGCTGAACAAGTTGTGGTATATGAATGTAATGGAATACTATTGTGCTGTAAGAAATGATGAACAGGCAGACTTCAGAAAAACCTGGAAATACTTGCATGCTCTGATGATGAGTGAAGTGAGCAGAGCCAGGAGAATGTTGTACTCAGTAATAGCCACATTGTGCGATGACTGACATTGACAGACTTAATTAACCCTTCTCAGCAATACAATGATCTAAGACATCTCCAAAGGCCTCATGATGGAAAATGTTATCCAAATCCAAAGAAAGAACTGTGGAGTTTGAATGCAGATTGAAGCATACTATTTGCTATTTTTTTTTCTTCTGTTGTGTTTTGTTTCCTCTTTCTGGTGGTTCCTCCTATTGGTGATTCTTACTTACAACATCACTATTATGAAAATATGTTTACTAGGAATGTACATGCATAGCTTGTATCAGACTGTGGGGAGGGAGGTGGGGAGGAAAGGGGAGAAAAATTTAAAACTTAAAAGCTTATGGAGTGATTGTTGACAATTCAAAATAAATTAATAATAAAAAAAGAAATTATTCTTAATAGGAGGAGCCCATTGACATTAGACTACAGGAACTATTCATAACACAGAGATTCACATATATATTCATACGAATGTATGTTTATGTGCATATATCCACACGTAACTCTAGTAATATTATTTATATACATGCTGCACATATGTATACATGTATGTATTACTGAATATGTGTATTCATACACATATGTACTTGCGTCTTTCTCAATCCGTCCTTCAGTCAAGGAGAGATAAAGATGCTTTGTCAGTCAAAACCAACAGCAGAAACTCATACTGGTCCTCTCACTCCCTTTAGGGTTTCAGGTCTTGTCTTTGTCTCTCCATCGTCTTTAGGCAGAGATCCCCAGTGACAGAGAGATGGAGTGACTGTTCCCCAGGCGTTTGGGATCCACAACAC